AAGGTAAAGTTTCAAAGGGTATGTTATAGAAGTTATCTGTACAAGGTCTAAAGTTCAAGGTATATCTATATATTACCTCCAATCTTAAAATATAAAAAAATAGTTGGAGATTCAATTTGGTTCTAAATATAAAACTCATTCATTTTGTCTATCATATTTATTTATTTTTTTAAAAGTAATCTTCATAGTAATTGTACATGATAAAAAGTTTTTATTATAACACACATGATTAACAAGATACTGTAGGAAAGATAACACTCTTTGTTATAAATAACTAATTTAACTAATTTTTTTATCATTTACAAATTAGTTGTCTAGTTATTATTATTAAAAATCAGAAGCAAGTAAATTTAGAAATTAAAATAGTATTTGGATGCCTTACTTGTCCCTCGCAGCTTTCTGCTTCTTGATCTAATTCATATCATTCCTCTTCCTATAAATAGAAATCAATCTAGCATCTAAGAAATCAAACTTCTTAGCTTCTATAACTGAGTCACTGTTTAAGTCTCTACAGCTACCAACCTATCAATGGAGAAAGGAAATTATTGCATCGTCATGGTTCCAGGTCCAAGCTTCAACCATCTCATTCCACTCATTGAGTTAGCGAAAACGGCTCGTCGTTCACCACCTGACTTCCATGTTATTTTCCTTATCCCCACATTTGGCCCTCCCTCATCAACCACACTTTCCATCCTCCAATCTCTCCCACCAAACATAGACTACACTATTCTTCCACAAGTCAATGAAAACGACATGCCCTCCGCTGCCGTTCATCAAGCAACACACATGCATCTCACTTTTGTTATATTCTCTTTCTTCACTTTGTCAAGCTTTGATTTCATTGACGGATTCTCGAACTTATCACCTTGTTGCTATGATTGCTGATGTGTTCTCAGTTGATGCTTTAGAAGTTGCAAAGCAATTCAACCTCAAGACATACGCTTATTGTGCTTCATCAGGTCCTTCATTAAGTTTCTTCCTCAATTTTCCCGAACTTGATAAGGATCTTGAGATTTTTTTCCACTGACTTTCGTGAGTTGCAACAGCCTGTGAAACTTCCAGGTTTCAAGCTATTTTTTGTTTCTTTGGCCACCTTGGCTATCTCACTTAGGAGCACTGGGCACTCGAAAGTTTCTTTAGGTTCAATTTATTCCAAAAGTCTAAAATCAGCGTAATGTTACCTCCTATCATTGAACGGTCAACAACACTATTTTAATAGTCAACCTTAATTTAACGATAGAGGGCAATATTGCTATAATTTTAAACTTTTAGGATAAATGTAGGCCCAAAAAAATACTTTTGAATGTTAGCACTCCTGAGTGAAAATTTCTGGATAAATTTGCACATCAACCCTTAGTAAATCAAGTTAAAAGCAATATGTATTACTACTGATATGTTTTTCAGGTTGTGTGGCTCTTCAAGGCAAGGATCTCATTGACTCGGTTCAACAAAGAACAATTGAATCCTACAAAACAATTCTTCATATCAGTAAAGGATTGGATTTGGCAGATGGTATTATACTAAACAGCTTCATGGATTTGGAAAGAAAGATAATAACAGCTCTGCAAGAAAATAAGAATAAATACCCTCCTATATATCCGTTGGGCCCTATTTTACAGAGTGAGTTAGCTAGCATAAACGAGACAGCTTCAAAGTGTTTAAAATGGTTAGACAATCAACCACCTAACTCTGTTCTGTATGTTTCTTTTGGGAGTGGAGGGACACTGTCACATGACCAGCTTAACGAGCTAGCCTTAGGGTTAGAGATGAGTGGCCACAAGTTCCTGTGGGCTATGAGGGCTTCAAACGGGTTTGCTTATTCGGCTTATTTGAATGAACAAAAGGAGGACCCATTTGACTATTTGCCAAAAGGGTTTCTTGAGAGAATCAAAGATCAAGGCTTTGTGCTTCCATCATGGGCCCCAGAAATTGAAGTGTTGAGGCACGGGTCAACTCGTGCATTCTTGACTCATTGTGGCTGGAACTCTACACTTGAGTGTGTGTTCTATGGCAAGCCTATAATTGTGTGGCCATTGTCTGCAGAGCAAAGAATGAATGCAGTGATGCTGAGTGAGGAGTTGAAGATTGCTGTAAGGCCAAAAGAGAATGCAAATAATGATGGGATTATTGTGGAGAAGGAGGAAGTTTCTAGAATTGTAAAGAGTGTAATGGAAGGTGATAAAGGGAAAGAGATTAATAGAAGAATTCAAGTGTTTAAGGATGCTGCCGCTAAAGCGCTTGGAAAAGATGGTTTGTTTTCAAGAACACTCGCTAGTTTAGCAAATCAATGGAAAAATTCGAATGGCAAATAGAGAAATGAGAGCTTAGTTTCAATGTATATTTTATCGTTATTTCGCTTAGTCGTGCATTTCTCTATCTTTAAAGTTGTTTTTATTTAAGTTTAACGTCATACGATGTTCTTATTTTTATTATTGTCAAAGCCAGGGGATTCATTGCATATGACATTATACTACCCCTGGTCCTTAATATAACAGCTATTTGACTAATTTGAATAGATTAAAAAGTTTATTAAGTTAATTACTCCTTCGATCCTAAATATAAGACCCTTATCCTAGTGTGTAGGGTGTATAAGGGTCTTATATTTAAGACTGAAGGAGTATTTGTAATAATTAGGTGTTATCTTTCCTAGAATATTGTTACTAATTAATCATATGTATTAGCTAGAACTATTATTTGATGAAACTTTTAATATGTACAACTACTACAAGAACTATTTTTTTAAAAATGAATAAATATGAGAGACAAAGTGCCTATTTGGTTGAGCAGTGAGAGCTTAAATAAACCTGTTTAAATCTAAATAAGTGATTATGAAGCAGGTTTATCCTGTTTAAGTAATTTTTATAAAATCCTGATAAAATGTGATTTCATTCTTTCACTGCACCTTTAGGATAAGTATCTAGGAGTAGCTTATGTGTTTGAAAAATCCTGATAAATTTTTATCAACTGAATTTTCTCTAATTTACCTTTCACACTCTTCCGAGCATCTCTTCCCAAATGATTATATTTAATAATATTTATTAAACTCATGTCTTTTGGTAATTATGCATCCATAAATGATTTTAATAAATGAAAACTAAACATAATCACAATTCTTAAAGTCACTTATAAAAGAAACATATCCAAACAAAAATCATGATTAACCAACATCACTTATAGCCACTGTCACTTATAAAAATTTACCGTTATTTAAAATCACAGTTATTCATTGCTAATCCAAATGGGTACAAAGTGGATTGTGATCTTATATTTAGAAATGAATTGAATGTCAAACTAGCTCTTATATTAAAAACTGGAGATGGTAGGTTGTACATTCATGGCCCTGAGGCTTGAGCTTACCCTTACCCTAACCCTCCCAGTTTCCCTCCTCTGATCTGTCCCAACTAGGATGCTTCTAGCTTTAGAACCAACGGATTTAAAGGTTAATTTTTCAAAATCCTTTAAGTATTTTTTGTTTATTTAAATATATATATATATATATATATATATATCTCATTACTAACCCCTGCACCTTTGTGAGAAACGAATTGCATACTATTCTTCATACATCTTTACTTAAGTTGTCTAATCTTTTTGATACATTTCATATCTATATTTTAATTTTTTTAATTAAAAATATAGGATGAATTTAGAAAAATGATAGAAAAAGAAATTGAAAATTACAATATTATAATTCAGGCTGTCAAAATCCCAAGGGAGGAAGTGGTGCCTAATACAGTATTTTGCAAATATAGTTGAATGACAAAAATGACCTTGTATAAGATTTTTTTTTTTTTTTAAAAAAAACTATCAAAGTTACAATTGCCAGTATATTTCTTTTTAATGGTTGTTCAATACTTGTCATTATTAATTTACAACTTCTTAACAAATAACTTGTTATTGCTAATACATTTTTTATCATTTGTTATTTAATGCTTGTTATTACTAGTTTAAAACTTATTAATAAACTTTTTGATATAATGATATTTTTGTTATTTAACTACATTTGTAAAATACCAGATCAGGCATCACTTCCTTTTCTGGGATTTTGACCTCTTAAATGCTTGAATTAGAATATTGCAATTTTCAACTTCCATTTTTCCATAATTTTTTTGGAATTTTATAAGACAAAACATCTACATTTCAAAAGATGAAGAATTATATGTATTTTATTTCTTGTGTTCTTCCAAATAAACAAATAAATAAAATTTATATTTATATTGTGAGAATAATATGCGCGTGCACGCGCAAACATGTTCAAAAAGCATAAACATATCAGACAATATGTAATGAATGGGCCTTGCATTAATAAGGAACAAGAGGAAACAGTTATTGGGCCAATAGATGTTACTATTGGGCTTAAAGAGGGTGGGCTAATTTGGAGGGACTAGGGTATACAGTGGAGCAAGATGAAGGTATGGAGGCAGTGAAGAATATCGTCAAGCGATCTCCCTCTTTGGCGTCTATCCTTCTCCCTGTGACCGTCCTTTTCTTCTGCTTTCCTACTTACCTCTGAATTTCCTTTTCCTGCTGCGGTGTCCTTCTCTTCTACTGTTCTGGACTTCATTATTATTATTTTGCTTGTAGTTCTGGAACCATATTACAGATATGGATGTCAATTTATGTAAGTTTTATCCATTAAGTTGCTATATTATAAAAAGTGATCATAACACAATGTGATCCAATTTTTTTTTTTTCCCCAGTCTGATGGCATATGATAAAATATATAGAAGCGTTGTTTTTCAGGTAAAAGTCTGTGATCTCATCTCGATGAAGAAAATATTTAAATCACAACAGGTTTTGTACTGGCTGGTTTTCCACTAGCCATGCCTTTAATTTGAAACTCGATAAGATAAAGCTTAGAACAAGGTTACTAATCAATTTGCACAAAATAAGATGGCCCAAACATAAAAGCAGTCAGAATTTTCACTATATTGAGAGGGAAAAAAACATATTTGCAAAGATTTACATATAGGGTTGAGTTATTGGAAATGATTGAAAAGTAAAAACAAGATATAATAGCATGTAATACACAAAACTTAACGTGGAAAGACCCCTATATTATATGTCCAAAGAAAAAAACTAAAAGCAACGAGCCAAAAGTTGTACTATGAACAACAACCAATTAAATTACAATATAAATCCGTCATTTTTCTAATAACAGAAAAACTATATATATATATATATATATATATATATAGAATGATGAATCAAGGTTTGGATTCTTAATGGGAGATATCCCCAGATTTAATACCTAACAGTGTTTCAAACACGACTACCTCTAATAGAAGAATATCTATGCTTAGCAAAATATTGGCATCTCAGCTCCTTCATAGGTTTTAAGTAATTTGATTTCGTCCATTGTCTCAAGCTCTTGGCTTGCCCTTATAATAAGAATGTATAAAGTATCTTACAATCTTATAAAATGTTTTCTTGTATTGCAAAGCAAGCAAGTATTGAATATTTTTTTAACATTACTGTCGTCTATATCGCCACCAAATTTAATAATCAATGCAAGAGAGAATATATCAAGTCCAACCCAAAAAAAAAAAAACAAAGAAAGAAAGTCATGGTAACGCACCAATTCGAGGCATACATTCCGATAAGATATAGTTGTTGGCTAGCAATTGGAAACGAATATCTATCATATCTTCATCTGTTGAACATATAATATTCCTAGTGGCAAAAAATAAATAAATAAATATAATATTGCCCATGTTAGGGGATTTTACACGTTTACGAGGTCAACGGACAAAAAATGTTTAGTCCACATGGACTCAACATTTTAATATGTTCAAAATATTTTTAATAGAACCTATCAATTTTTCAAACAACAAATTATGAATGTAGTGGGCCTCTCTCAGCATTAAAGACAAAAGATGCTAGCATAAAAAATGAGCAGCATCAAATTGCAATTTATAAATCGAACTACTCTTAGTATAATTAAACAAGTTTAGAACACTAGTTGAGATAAAGAAAACTATATTTGCTTTAATTACTCCTATAAATAAAAGTACTTAAGAGGAAGTATTTGAAGCGACATCCAGAATATCAATCATTCATGGAGAAAAGAAATCCTTGCATCGCCATGGTTTCATGTCCAGGCTTTGGCCATCTCATCCCAGTCGTAGAGCTTGCAAAACAACTTGTCATTCATCCTCACTTTCATGTCACGCTCTTCATCCGAACACTTGGCCCTCCCTCCACAACCACCTATTCAATCCTCCAATCTCTTCCCCCTCACATAGACTTCACTATTCTCTCACAAGTGAATCAAAACAACATCCCTCAAAGTGCTGTCCACCCGACAACACAAATGCATCATACTGTCATGCTCTCTCTTTCATCATTTCATGATGCTTTGAACTCATTAAAATCTCAAGATCATCACTTTGTTGCTATGATTGCGGATTTCTTCTCAGTGCATGTGTTACAAATTACGAAGCAATTCAACCTCAAATCATCCGTCTATTATGCTTCAGGAGCAACTTCACTGTTTTTCTGCCTTAACTTTTTCCAACCAGATAATGATCATGACATTGTTCTCTACAGGGTTTCGAGAACTATCACAACCTCTGAAACTCCCAGGTTTCATAGCTTTTATCTTCTGCTTTAACGAAACTAATAATATCTATCAAAAATAAAACTAATGGAACTTCCTTTTAGGCTGCATAGCTTTTCTTGGCAAGGATCTTCCTGACACAATTCAGGAAAGATTTAGTGCATCCTACAAAACAATTTTGCACATCTATAAATAGTTTGATTTTGCTGATGGTATCATAGTGAATAGCTTTCAAGAATTGGAACAAGAGGTAATAACGGCTCTACAAGGGAGTAATCATAAATACCCACCCATTTATCCATGGGGCCCTATTTTAAAAACCGAATTAACTAGCAAAAATGAGTCAAATTCGAAGTGTCTAGTATGGTTGGACAATCACCCACGAAACTCAGTTCTCTGTCTCTTTTGGGAGTGATGGAACACTGTCACTTGAACAACTTCATGAACTTGTTCTAAGGTTAGAGATGAGTGGCCACAAGTTCTTGTGAGTGGTGAGAGCCCCAAATGAGTCTGCTTCTTCGGATTATTTGAGTGCAAAAAAAGAGGGCCCACTTGATTATTTGCCTAAAGTTTTCATTGAAAGAACCAAAGACCAAGGCCTTATGGTCCCATCATGGGCCCCACAAATCCAAATCCTGAGACACGAGGCCACTAGTGGCTTCTTGACTCATTGTGGTCGGAACTCCACGCTTGAGAGTGTGTTCTATGGCAAATAGCCAATGATTGCGTGGCCACTATTTGCAGAGCAAAGAATGAACGCGGTGTTGATAACTGAGGAGTTGAAGATTGCTCTGTGGTTGAAGAAAGATCATGATAATAACAAGGGAATTGTCAGGAAGGAGGAAGTTTGTAGGATTGTGAAGAGAGTAATGGAAGGTGATGAAGGCAAAGAAATCAACAGAAAAATTCAGGTCTATAAGGATGTTGCTACAAAAGCACTTAGTGACGATGGTTCCTCAACTAAGACCCTCTCTTGCTTATTATCTGATCTCTTGAATGGAAAATGATTTAATTCGAATGATCGAGTTGTGCCAATAACAAATGCTTGAGTTTGATTTGTATATGTATTATATACAGATACTGTATGTGTGGGTGAGTTCTCACGCTAATGGCCAAGATTTTAGAATTATATATATGGAACTAATTCTATTAGTTTACTGCTAGTAAAATTACTGATTGAATTTCATTGTAGATGATGATATCTATACAGATGGATCTTATATATATCGTACAATGAAGTACCGCATGAGTGGATATATAGGAATCAAAATCTGCCGAATCACTCATGTTATGATCTTCTACATCCTAGGTCTTCCCGTTCCTTCATCTGGTAAGATCCATTCCCTCTCCTTCCTTCTTTTCCATATAATTCTGGTCGTTGAACCAGACGCACCCTTGCAATTCAATGCATTTGTGTGTGTGTTTAAATTTACAGTAATAATTAAAAAAAAAGTTTTGAAATGAAAAATACCTATGAAAATATATGAAAGAACTTTTTTCGAGTTCAAATCTACCAATCCAAGTTTAAAAAGAGTACAATAATGCCGGCATCATTAAAATTAACCAATGTCCATTTTCTTCGTTGTGGGACCCATGATTTTTTTTTAATAAAAGTGTCAAAATACCCTAATTAAAACAAAAAAAGTTAATGTAAAAAAATACATATGAACTTATACCAAAAATTCACCAAACACCATATAATTTTTATGGAAGTACTTATAAATCTTGTAAGGGAGTCGTCTAATTTAATAGTTATGCCAATAAATCTCTTTTAGTCTCGTAATGAACATGTAGGAATACTTTTTTGTTCTATTTACAAAGTAAAGAGAGAATATTCTGTCCGTTTGGTCCATAATATAAAAGAATGACTTGGTCTAAAATATAAGTCACTTAGAGAGTAATTAATGCTCATTTGTCAATTTTATCCATGCAATTAATGCTTAAATATAATTTCTTGTATTTTTTGTATTCTTCGTAATCTTATTTAATATGGGTATTGAAAAATATTTTCAATTCAAAACATATTTGATGAATTAATTACCATTTTTTGATATTGATAAATTAGTTAAAATGATTTATATTGTAGACCAGAATGAGTATAAATTTGGATTCTATACACAAGACAGCTGATGTAATTTTTCATGTAAATGTACGAATTTGTCCTTATTAAATTATTGGTACTTGTTAATTCATCCCTCAATTTTGTCTTCTTCCCATCCCTTACTTATTCTTGTCTCTTCATTTATAAAGTACTCTTTCAAAATTTTGCTTCGCTGAGAATAGATTCATGCACAGCATTACTTTAAACATTGATTGATTGGTTCACTGTCTTTAAAATTAAAAATAATTCGTTGATAAAGGGACATAATAATGCATTTAACTTCCTTTTTATTGGCATTTGTCTGTGCCAAGTGAATTGTAATCTACTGGTCCTATTTATAAGTCACTTCTAACATATTCTTCATAGACCAAGAAAAACCTTAAACTTCATTTACTTTCATTTAAAATTCAACAACTTTACAACTTTATCCTTATTTAATATATATTATATCTCGTATAAAAAAAGTCAACATAATAATAAATAAGGAATAAAATTGTACATTCATGCAAAAAATTTCTCTTAGTAGCCTATAAATAGGACAAAAAAATATTTTCTCTCTCTATCTTATAAATAGGACCGGAGGAGTATTTATTTACTTCCAGCCATCAATAAATGCAAATAAAATATTTAATATTTTCAGTATTTTTATTTTTAAAGCATTAAATAGTAAAATTAAGAAGCTTTTAAATTTTAAGGCAGAGTATTAGAAATTCCTCTTAAATACCACTCCGTCTCTTATTATAAGATTCAATTTTTTGAATGGTTATGTCCCTTTTTATAAGATTCTCTTTGAGTTTGTCTAAGCATTTAATGTATTATTACCTATTTTATCCTAATTTAATGCATCTAATACATTCTCTGTATTCATTTACCTCACTATTATTTTATCACATTTACCCATTTATATATAAGGGTATATTTGGAAAAAAAATGCATTTGTTACATATTACTTGCTTTTAACTAATTTTAACTATTTTCTTAAACCGCACAACTTAATTAAAAAGATCTTATAATAAAGGACGGAGGGAGCAGCATGAGAGGAGCAAAAGCATTTATTGGATGAAAGCTCATCAAATAATGTATAGTTGGCACTTTTAATGCGTTATAATAAATGTCATACAGAATACTCCTTCTTGTCCTTATCATGAGAGTCCTTTTAGAGGAAATGAATGTTATAATATATTTTATATAGCCATATTTAATGAGGGTAGTGAGAGAATATAAATTAATGTGATGTTAGAATTTAGTATAATTAATAAGAAAAATATTGAAAATTACTTGAATTTTATGGCATATTCATTGATTTCAATTAATTGTATGGGCATGCGTGAATTAGTTAAAAGGTTCTTATCATGGTTATCAGAATCGTGCGATTCGGGATACGAATCGCACGATTCCTTACAAAATTTGCATTGGGAGATATGAATCTCCCAGTGTATCTTCAGTGCATTAGTATCGTGGCCTGAATCGTGCGACGTATTCTGGGCAACGTCAGGTTGCGCAAATCCGACCCGAATCTATGCGCGACTCGACACGATGAAACCCCCCATTTTCATTTTTTTCTTTTTTTTTTCTAGTTATATAAGGGAAGTAACTGCCAAACCCTATTTTTTTTATTCCCCTCTTGCTCTTCTTTTTACGTTTTACTCCATATCTTGTGCCCTATGCCAGTTGCTTTTTTTTTTTTTTTCTCTTCTACCGGTTCCATGCGGCTGAAATTTGGAAGCTTTGAAGTTTGAATATTGAAGTCTTCTCCTTTGCTGGTTCTTTCTCTAATCTTTTACTCCTATTTGATAATTTTTTTACTCTATTTTTTTATTGGATATTATATTGGTGGGAAAAATGAGTCAGAATTAGAATAAGAAAAAAAAGGAAGCTGACATTACATGGAAACATTGTGAAAGTGTTCCTCCCCATAGACTTATGGTTAAATGCAAATACTGTTCACATCAATGTTGGGGTGGGGTAGCCTGGATGAAACATCATTTGGCTGGAACTAGAGAGAATGTGAGTCCCTGTACAAGTGTTCCTGATGAAGTTAAAAATTTATTTGTTAAAATGCTAGAAGATAGAGAAAAAATAAAGATGCGTAGTGTTGAAATATTTAAAGAAGCAACTGCTCAAGATGCTAAGGGGAAGGAAAGGACATCAAAAACTATCAAACAGAAAACGATGAATGAGATGGTAAAAGATAGAGAGTTAATAATTCAAGATATTTGTAAATGCATCTATGGTAATGCTTTACCATTCAACTTGGTAAGAAGTCCACTGTTTATTCAAATGTTAAAATCTATTGGTGAATATGGTAGGGGTTTGAAACCTCCAAGTTATCATAAGGTGAGAGTTTCTCATTTGAAAAAAGCTGTTGATAAAATTCAAGAAAGTTTAGTGAAGTATAAGAGGGAATAGGAGAAATGGGGTTGTACTTTGATGTGTGATGGTTGGACTGATGGTAAAGGGAGGTCTCTTACTAATTTTTTAGTTAATAGTCCTGGTGGGACTGTTTTCTTAAAGTGGGTGGACACAAGGAGTGTGATTAAAGATGCTAAACAAATGTTTGAATTACTAGACAATATAGTTGAAGAAATTGGGGAGGATAATGTGGTGCAAGTTGTGACAGATGGTGCCTCAAATCTCGTGGCAGCAGGGAAGATGTCAGAAGAGAAGAGAAAAAAATTATTTTGGTCCCCTTGTGCAGCTCATTGCCTTGATTTAGTCCTTGAAGACATTGGGCAACTTCCGATATTTTATAATACCATCACCACTGCGAAGAAAATAACAACATTCATTTATAGGCATACGTGGGTCCTTAACTTGTATAGAAAATATTCCAAAGGAAGAGAATTAGCTAGACCAGCAGTGACAAGATTTGCAACAGCTTATCTTACACTAAGTTGCATATTGCAGCAAAAGAATGCTCTTCGAACCATGTTTGCTTCAGATGATTGGGTTTCTAGTTCTTTTGCCAATAAAAGTGAGGGTAAGCAAATGGCAGACATGATTTTTGGGGATTCTAGATTTTGGAGTCCCATCAAATATTGCTTACAGCGTGTGAGTCCACTTGTAAAAGTTTTGAGACTTGTAGATGGTGACTCTAAACCTGCTATGCCATATATTTATGAAGCAATGGATAGAGCCAAAGAAGAGATTACTGACAATTTTGAAAAGAAGGAATCAAGGTATAAAAAGATATGGAAGATTATTGATACTCGTTGGAATTTACAACTACATAGACCCCTTCATGCGGCTGCCTACTTTCTTAATCCTAAGTAAGTTTTATACAATTTAAAGTTTATAAGTTTAAATATTTATTATTTAATTGTATGTTAGAAAAAGATAACTTATTCATTATCTTTTTAGGTTCCATTATGATGAAAAATTTAATGCGGATCAAGAATTCTATTTTGGTTTATATGAAACTATTGAGAAAATGATTCCAGATAGGAAGACAAGATTTTTAGTTGATCAACAGCTTGAGGCATTCAAGTCTGCCAAGGGACTTTTTGGAAGGAGCATGGCAATAGATACTAGAAACAAAAAACAACCCGGTATCGTTCTCTAGTCTATACTATTTATAAGAATTTAATTTTTAACCTTAATAATAAATCTGAATTTTGAAAAACATTCCTAATTATTTTTTTAGCCTCTTTGGTGGGAAAGTTATGGAGGAGAAGGCAAGGAGTTACAAAAGGTAGCTATGAGAATTTTGAGTCTCACATGTAGTGCTACTGGATGTGAAAGAAATTGGAGTACATTTGATCAAGTGCATACTAAACGAAGAAATCGCTTAGAACAACAAAGGTTAAATGCACTTGTATTTGTTAAGTACAACCTTCAACTTGAGATGAGACAAAAGATTAGAGAGGAAAAAGGACAGACATATGATCCAATTTGTTTATCAGATATTGAATCTGATGATGAGTGGATCACTGAAAAAGAAAACCCATGCTTGCCAGTGGATGGGTCATGGATGGACATACATGAGAGTTTCACTCTTGATGAAGGAGCTCCAAGCAAGAAAAGAAAGAGAGGTATAATATTTTAAAACTAAACATAAGTTGATTTTAGTTTAAATATATAAAATCATACTTATTTAAGCTTTTTGTTTTTCCCTTAGGTCCAAGAAATTTGAATGCCAAAACGAGTAGCAAAGGGAAATCTATAGTGGAACAAGAGAATGAGAATGAAGATAATGTTGAAGATGGGGAAGAGGAGGACGATGAAGAATTGACATTATTAATGGAGGATGATCATGAATTGAGTGACATTGATCTTGGAGATGATGAATGATGAATTGAATTTTATGTTTAGTGACTTTAGTCTTTTTAAGTTAGGAGTTTGGTTTTTGATTGATTTTGGGGACTATTTATGTTTAAAATTTCATATGTTGGCTTTTTTTTTTGGACAGTTTATAGTACCTAATATTTACAAACTTCTAATATTTTTTCATATGAAAATTACTTATATATTATCCTTAATAATTGTTCATGAATCTTACGATTCGCGATACGGTATGATTCAAAATTCATAAAACCGGCTTTCCGATACACCATTCATATCTCGATTTGATAACCATGGTTCTTATGATATAGACCAAAGGGAGCATTTTTAGTTTCAAATGAAAAAACGATTAAGGATTTATATTTCCAACTCCATCACATCTGCATACACTTACCATCTACTTCCTCCGTCCCTTATTATAAGATCTTTTTAACTAAATTACGCGGTTTAAAAAAATAGTTAAAATTAGTTAAAAGCAATTAATATGTAGCAAATGCAAATTTTTTTCCAAGCATACACTTATATATAAATGGGTAGATATGATAGAGTAATAGTGAGATAAATGAAGAAAGAGAATGTATTAGATGCATTAAATTAGGGGTAAAATAGATAATAATGCATTAAATGCTCAGATAGATTCAAAGAGGATCTTATAAAAAGGAACATATCTATTTAGAAAATTAGATCTTATAATAAGGGACGGAGGAGTATACTAACTTTTCTTTGAGAAGCCGAGGAAATTGTTGACTTATTTAAACAGATAACTGATGATATTAGCAAATGACATTATAAACAACGCCGTTTATTTAATAATTATTCTGATGGCCTTTATTTATAAATTACTTTTAACCTTTTGGTACGTTACTTAAATCAATAAAAATCTTAAACCTCATTAACTAATTAGTTTTAAAATTTAACAACTTTCATGATAGAAATTTAATAATATGATTATTTAATAGGATTAAATAAAATCTTTCCTATCTGCCTTATACTAATAGGATATAAGAGTATGGCTATAAACCTCATAATATTGTAATGATGTTGTTTTTACCATATCATTTGCTAATATTATCAGTTACGTCCAATTTCTCTCCTATTTAATTAAGTCAACAATTTACTATAGGCTTCTCGAAGAAAAGCGGATAAATGTTCACCAACAATAAACTAATAATGCACAAAGGAACAAAAGCATTTAATGGGTATAATGAATATGAAGTTTCATCCAGCAATGCATAAGTAAGACTGAGAGTTTGCGAAAGAAAAGTGAGAGTTTTAAATAAAATATAAATTATAGAATATTTTCCGTTTCAGCTGAAAACAATAAAGGATTTATATTTCCATTCCCACCACTAACTTTCTTCAAGAAGCCTAGGAAATTGTTGACTGATTTAAAGAGAAATTGAATACTCTTTTAGTCCTATTTATAAGGTACTACTAACATGTTTCATATAGACGAAGAAAAAATTTAAACTGCATTAACTCTTTTTTAAAATATAATAACTTTTCAACTTTACTCTTATTTAATATATACACGTTTCAAAAAAATAACTATCTACGCTATAATAAATGAAGGACAATATAGTACATTCATGATAAAAATTTAATGAAGTGACTTATAAATAGAACCAAAAAAACTTTCTCTTTCTGTCTTATAAATAGGGCCAGAGGAGTATAACTGATGATATTAGCAACTGATGACATTGTATTACAAGATTTATAGGCATAATAACTGTTAAACGGCTCATTACAAGATTCATAAAATAAAATAAGATAATTCTAAAGAAAACTATATTTTCATTAATTTCCAGTTAACTCTTATTTTTAAAAGTATATAGATTGGTCTCGAAGTTAAGAGGAAGCATCTGAAAGAATCCATCGACCATCAATTATCCATGGAGAAAAGAAATCCCAGCATCGCCATGGTTCCTTGTCCAGGCTTCGGCCATCTAATCCCACTCATAGAGCTTGCAAAACGACTTGTTGTTCATCTTCCTCACGCCCACGTCAATCTCTTCATCCCAACCCTTGGCCCTCCTCCCACAACTACCTATTATTCCATCCTTCAATCACTTCCTCCCCGTATAGATTACACTAGTCTTCCACAAGTGATTTAAAACGACGTCCCTCAAACTGCCGTCCATCCAGCTACACAAATGCATCATATTGTCATGCTTTCTCTTTCTTCACTTCGTGATGCTTTGAGCTCATTAAAATCTCAAAGTCACATTGTTGCTATGATTGCCGATTTCTTCTCAGTGGATGCGTTACAAATTGCTAAGCAGTTCAACCTCAAATCATATATCTACTATTTTGGAGGAGCTACGACATTGTGTTTTTGCCTTAATTGTCCCCAACTTGACAACGATCACGACACTGTTTGCACAGGGTTTCAAGAGCTATCACAACCTTTGATAAAGTAGAGATGCTTGTATATTTGTTAATTATTAATTGGGAAGGAATATCTCATATCTTCGCTTGTTGCAATATTATATTGGTCAAGTAGTAAGGAAAAACTTCCGGCTCACGAGCTTGACATATCAAGAAAGCTCCAAGTCCACAGATAGTGAAATTACTTAATATGATTTTGATAGCCTTTCACAAACCGACATAAAAATCAACATCAACTGGCAATTTATACATTGAAATACTCTTACTAATTAAACAAGCTTAGAAGAATACTAATTGAGATAGTTAATATACCTCTTCTCCTTAATATAATATCTACTTGACTAATTTAAGTAGATTAAATAAAGTAGTTAAATTAGTTATTTATCAAAAATATGTGTTAGTTTTCTTAAAAAATACCTTGTCAAATTATTTGGATTGAAACTATCCTTTGATTCAAACTCCCTTAACATATATACAATCAGTAGGCTTAGTTTGGATAAATAAAAGGGGTATAAAATATATTAGAGTCTTATATTTAAGACCAAATTTAATTCCCTACTAATTTTTATCTTAAGTACCCGAGGTAGTAATAAAAACTATATTTACAACAATTTTCCTGTTGAGCCATATGTGTAAAGGCGTACATAATATAGAGTCTCAAAGTTAAAAAGAAGCACCCCTTGATGAAGCAACCAGCTGATTATCGATCTTCCATGGAGAATAGAAGTCCCTGCATCGCCATGGTTCCATGTCCAGGTTTCAGCCATCTAATCCCACTCGTACAGCTTGCAAAACGACTAGTCGTTCATCGTGCTCACTTCCACGTCACTCTCTTCATCCCAACACTTGGCCCTCCCTCCAAAACTACATATTCCATCCTTCAATCTCTCCCTCCTCACATAGATTTCACTATTCTTCCACAAGTGAATCAAAACGACATCCCTCAAAGTGCTGTCCATCCAGCAACACAAATCCATCATACTGTGATGCTGTCTCTTCCATCATTTCAAGATGCTTTTAGGTCTTTGAATTCTCGAACTCACCTTTTTGCCATGATTGCAGATTTGCTATCAGTGGATGCATTAGAAATGTCCAAGCAATTCAACCTCAAGTCATATATTTACTATGCTTCAGGAGCAACTTCGTTGTGTTTCTGCCTTAATTTTCCTGAACTTCACCAAGATCACGACAAGGTTTCTACAGGCTTCCGAGAGCTATCGCAACCTTTGAAACTCCCAAGTCACAAAGCTTTCTTTTTCTTTCCTGCTTTAATTAAACTAAATAACTATAAAAAATTAACTCATGGAACTTCATTTCTGCAGGTTGCATAGCTTTTCATGGGGCAAGGATATTCCTGACATAGTTCAAGAAAGATCAAGTGAATCCTACGAAACAATTCTTCACATCTGTAAACGGTTCAATTTTGCAGATGGTATCATAGTGAATAGCATCTTAGAACTAGAACTAGAGGTAATAACCACTCTGCAAGCAAATTATAATCATAATACCTTACAGTTTGTCCTTTGGGCCCCATTTTATAGATAGAATTAGCAACCGCAAACATGTTAGCCACCGATTGTTTAACATGGTTAAACAATCCGCCACAAAACTCAGTTCTATACATCTCTTTTGGGAGTGGTGGATCACTGTCACATGACCAACTTCGCCAACTCGCCTTAGGATTAGAGATAAGTGGCCACAAGTTTTTGTGGGTTGTGAGAGCTCCAAGTGAGTTTGCCTCTTCAGATTATTTGAGGGCCAAAGAGGAGGACCCACTTGATTACTTGCCAAAAGGGTTTATTGAAAGAACCAAAGATCAAGGTTTTGTGGTCCCATCATGGGCCCCACAAATTGAAATCCTAAGACACGAGTCCGTTGGTGGGTTTCTGACTCATTGTGGTGGGAACTCCACGCCTGAGGGTGTTTTCTAAGGCAAGCCCATGATTGCATGGCCAATGTTTGCAGAGCAGAAAATGAACACAGTGTTGTTAGCTGAAGAATTGAAGATTGCTGCGAGGCCGAATGAAAATAATAACAATAATAATGGAGTTGTGGCGGAGAAGGAGCAGGTTTCTAGAATTGTGAAGTGTGTGATGGAAGGTAATGAAGGGGAAGAAATCAGTAGAAGAATCCAAGTGTTTAAGGATGCTGCTGTTAAAGCAATGGGAGAATATGGTTCTTCTATGAAGACGCTCAATAGTTTAGCATTCGAAATTTTGAATTGAATAATCTTAATTAGTGGCAAAAGTAGAAAATGTAAGTCTTTAATTTTAATGTATTTTATTGTTAATTATATATTTTTGCTTAGTGGCGTAAAGATAAGGCTATAAGTAAGACTTGTGTCAGCCTCCAACAAAGTTGCAAGATTATATATATGCTGCCCCCAAAACTACTTAACTAATTTGAGTAGATTAAGAAAATTAATCAAGTTAGTTATTTGTAATAAATATGAGTTAATTTTTCTAAACTGACTTTTTAATTATCACTATCTTGAGATGAAAACCCCTTGACATGTGTAATTAATAGGGACACTTTAGAGAATGAATTACAAATTTGGAAAATAAAGTAGATCGAGATGTTATATTTAAGACCAAATCTAATTTCCAACTAACTATTATATTAAGTACCCAGGCACCGTTCACATAAGCATGCCCACATAATTTCTTTATTCCACGTTCAAATCAAAAGAACACATGTTCAAGCAATATTACAGTTGAGGTAAAATTAAAGAGATTAATATTAAAAAAATTTAAAAATAATCTGAGTAAGAGATGATAGTCTCCTTGCTTGATTAGCATAAAGAATCTATCAAATTTGCAATATTTTAAACATAAATCAGTTTGATTATAAATGTTTTTCGTGGATTGTCATCTTATTCAAACATAGTACGCGCAAGTTTATTTTTTATCCTATCAAATTCAAACAGAGCTTGTCATAAACTGTACGCATGCCAACAGTATTTCATTTTTCTTCATCCAAGAACATATGCTTGAAGAAATTCAAGCATTTGAGCATTTCCAATTAAAGGGATCCATTGTTTAGATAGTAAAGAGATCTATAATTAAAACTTATACTTTAATGTGTGTGTCTCTATGACATTTAATAAATTCACCACAAAATTAAACAAAGTTATATTTGAAATTTTCGATTTTCAAATTTTTATTTTTTAATTATGTATAATCACTTGTAAATTTTAGATTATATAATATACATAAAAATTTAAAATTATAATTCTTAAATAATTTTTTTCATATATACTTCAATACTTTCACAAATCTCTCATGAAAAAAAAATGCACGCATATAAAAAAATGTTTAGAGTTAAGTTGGATTTCTAATTCTATATTATTTTTAAGCGAAATGATCAGCTTCAGTTTTTCCCCCATTAGTGAATAAAAAAAATTATACATAAGGCCCTAAAAGATTACATATAATTGACTAATTAAAAAATCATTAACAATTAAACTCTAACTGACTAGTATGCATCTATATCTGCCACTCTATTACCATGTGTAAGTTACTTATAGGAGAAATATTTATTCCTAAATAAGTCATTTGTTAGGTAATTAATCACCCCTTTTTTCTTTCCCAATTTCATCTTTATTGGATACAATAAATAAAAGAGGTAAGAGAAAATGTACAGCATATATTTTATACCCTATCTTAGGGACAATGTGAACATTTTTATCAATTTATAATACATTCCGTCATGTGGGAAAATGAGGTCCAAGTGACTTACATACCACTAAATTTGTTCATATATACAAGTCACTAGTAGGAAATAAATATGTTTTTAAATATAAATCAATTATACGGTACGTAATTGATAATCTTTTTTTTCAAATTCATCCCTATTGAATACAATTAAAAAAAATAGGCTAGAGAAAATGTATGACGTATTTTTTTCAACACCAATTTCTTTAATAGAAGCTAAGTGTGTGAAAGTTTTATCAACTTAATGCGTTATTGACGAGAATGGGATACAAATGAGCTATATTTGTGGGAGTAAAGTAATCCTCCCTCTAGTCCTTATTATAAGAATCAACTAATTAACTCATATATACTAATAAAACTAGTTAAAAATATTAAATATGTCATAGAATTTAAATGATTTTTAATATTACTCTTATTAATTATACTAGATTAATTCGTATTCTCCACTAGATTAATTTGTATTCTCCACTGTACTCTCGTTACATATGAGCATATATAAAAAAATTATTTAATACTCATTCAAAATATTAAAAGGTTTTATAAAAATGATTAAGAATTTCTTCTATAAAGACTTCTATAATATGTACGACAGGGAGCATGTTAATTAAAAGACCACAATAACCTAGGCCTATGTATGTATATATACATCTACGGCATTTATGGCTTCGTGCAACGGACGAAGCCTATATTAAAATCTGATTTAATTTACTGATTTGACCGCTATCCCCCCCCGGGGGGCCCCACCCCAACCCAAAAAACAAAAAATGTATGATTCCAGTGTCTATTCTCTTTCTTTTAAGTGAGCTGCTTATATTAACCATTTTCAGCTGATAAGCTTCACATATTGTAAGTTTGTCAGATAGGAGTTTGATTTTAAGGTAAGCCATGACTGTTAGATAGACTTGCAGATATCATGGCGCACGTGTTAGATTATGATTTACATATATATATGTATATATGTATATGTATATATAGCAATGAAGTATTTTCATGCTTTCACTTTTTCTTCTTTCATTTGTTTCCTGCCCAAGTACCCATCAAGCTACCGAACTGTCAACTTTCCATGGAGAAAAGAAATTCTTGCATCGTCATGGTTCCATGTCCAGGGTTTAGTCATTTAATACCTCTGATTGAGTTTGCAAAACGACTCGTCGTTCACCTCCCTCGCTTCCACTTCACTTTCCTCATCCCCACACTCGGTCCTCCCTCCCCATCTGCACTTTCCATCCTCCAATCTCTTCCACCGCACATAGACTTCACTATTCTTCAACACGTCGACCAAAATGACATCCCTCGAAACGCCCTGCACCCAGCAACAAAAATGCATGAGACTGTAAAACTCTCTCTTCCGTCACTTCGTCAAGCTTTGAGCTTGTTGAGTTTCCATATTCAGCTTTTTGCTCTCATTGCCGATGTATTCTCAGTGGATGCCTTAGAGATTGCAAAGCAGTTCAACCTCAAATCATACGTTTACTTTCCCATGTCTGTTACTTCCTTGTGTTTCTGCCTCAAGTTTCCCGAACTTGATGAGGATCATGAGATGGTTTCTACTGGATTTGGAGACTTATCACAACCTTTGAAACTTCCAGGTTACCAATCTTCTTGTTCTTGTTTCTTTCTTTTCTTTTGCCTCTTTGATTCTTGTGAACTTTAGTTCTGTGAACTGGTTGGGTAAATGAAAAATGTAAAATGAATGTTAAAGAGCTAATAATTACTTCATTCAGGTTGTGTACCATTAAATGGCAAGGATCTGTTTGACACAGTTCAAGAAAGATCAAGTGAATCCTACAAAACAGTTCTTTATATATGTAAGCGATTGCATTTAGCAGATGGTATGATAGTGAATAGCTTCCTAGATCTGGAACGAGGGGCAATAACATCACTACAAGAAAGTAATCATAAACACCCACCCATTTATCCAGTGGGGCCCATTTTGAAGACCGAGTCAACTACCATAAACGAGTCAACCTCAAAGTGCTTAAAATGGTTAGACAATCAGCAGAAGAACTCTGTTTTGTATGTCTCTTTTGGGAGTGGAGGAACACTAACACATGACCAGCTTCATGAGCTAGCCTTGGGGTTAGAAATGAGTGGCCACAAGTTCTTGTGGGTTGTGAGGGCTCCAAGCAGGTCTACTAGTTCGGCTTATTTAAATTCACAAAATGAGAACCCTCTTGACCATATGCCAAAAGGGTTCATTGAAAGAACCAAAGGCCAAGGCTTTGTGGTCCCATCATGGGCCCCACAAATCGAAATTTTGAGACACTGCTCTACCGGTGGGTTTTTGACTCATTGTGGTTGGAACTCCACATTAGAGAGTGTGCTCTATGGCAAGCCAATGATTGTTTGGCCATTATTTGCAGAGCAGAGAATGAATGCAGTGTTGCTAACTGAGAAGTTTAAGGTTGCTGTGTGGCCCAAATTTGATGAGAACAAGCATGGGATTATAGTGAAAGAGGAAGTTGCAAGGGTTGTGAAGTTGATAATGGAAGATGATCAGGAAGGCAACGAAACTCGTAGAAGAGTTCAAGTGTTTCAGGATGCTGCTACGAAAGCACTTGGTGAAGATGGTTCATCTGCTCGAGCAATCTCTAACTTAGCTCATGAGTTGAAATATATGGGTGACATGTAGAAAACTAATGACTTTTCACTAATGTCACCCAAAATTTCTATGCTTGCTATTGTGGTTTTTCCAAAAAAGGGGTATTTACTCCATTAGATATTGAACAATTTCATGTTTTTGATAGATGATAATAAAGTTAGAAAAGAGTTGTTTGGGTAAATTAAACAATTTATAAGGCTTCAGAAGACATCAAGACTAGATCATTGGCCACTCAAAACGGCAGAGGAAGAGATGTCCATATTTAACCATTAATTTTTCTCCTTCTTCAACCATTAATTCCCCCCCCCCCCCACACACGGGAAGTGGTTAGATTTAATATTTTCCTATTTTTATTTTTTAAAATAATTATTTTTATGGGTATAGAATATAAAATAAAAATAATCTCTTAACTATCACTTTATTAAAAAATAATTTTATTTATTCAGACAGAATTAATTAAAAAATCTCATGGACTCTTCAAATTTAAACGGTCCTGCACGAGGGGATAAGCTTTGGATGCTCATCCTAAAGATGAGCACTCTAAATCAGTTCCTTTCACACCTATCTCCTATTCTCATGCGGTAATAATAGATCCTACGTAATTAGTTAATGTGCTATCATCATGGTGAATTTTCCTATATTCAAACAAAATCTAGGCTTGTTATAATACCAGATCCCATGACTAATATTAACATTCAGTTCGTTTTGCTATTTTATATGAGGCTAACAAATTATCCGTTCCCTCAAAACAAATTCCCAAAACTTCCAAAATGCGTTATTATTATCTATCACAAATACGACGTTTACCAATTCAACTCTCTTTATCTATTTTTGGCTTCCTTTGCCAAAAATATTCATGCCCCTCTCTCTATAGATACTTATGATACTCCATTCATCAATTCCACTGGTGATTGATTAATTAAAAAGCTCCCATACTCGAAGCAGAAAGATATGGAAAATTCAATAAAGCTGATGTTGTTTCTGTCTTTCTGCTTCGTTTCAAACCAAGCTTTGCTTGCAAATGCCTCTGTGCCAGCATTGTATGTGTTTGGTGATTCCCATCTTGATCCTGGAAACAACATGCATTTGGACACACCAGCAAAGCCTAATAGGTGGCCTTATGCAATTGATTTTCATAATATAAGGGGTCGTTTCACCAATGGAAGAAATATGGCTGACTTTATCGGTATGTTTCTTGATTAATTTGTGGTTTAAATACTTTTTCTTAGTTATAATTTGCCTCAACTTTGAATCAGATCCATGTAGTTTATTTTGTTTAAACCGGGCCTTCAATAGTATTTGTTTGTAATTGTTGCGAATTTCCTCTTAGTATTAATCCAAACATATATATAGTTGAAACTTGGCTTAAATATAATAATTATTTCAATGTTTTTAACGTTTAATTGCATATATTATCCAAATAATAGAACACTTATGACGTTTGTATTTATCCATCCAGCATCTTACTTGGACTTACCATTTCCTCCTGCATACTTAAACCTCTCGGATACTGAAAGAAGTCAGACTACAACAGGAATATCTTATGCATCTGCATCATGCGGGATCTTAAACACAACTGGAGCGGTAAGAAATTAAATTGAAATGACTATTCTTATTTCATTACCAATTTTAATATTATATATCTATATAGTAAAGAACAGTTTCCTTGTAGATATTAGATCAAGTTCATAAGTAAATTTATAAGTGCACATATGCATTCAAACAACTAATCATAGTAAAATAACAAGTGTGATTGGGAAACTTGATCTAACAAATATGAGCAACTTGATCTAATTTTTGTTGTATATTAAATGTCTGTTAATAATGATTTTTTTTTTTGTTGAAGGGAGAATGCTTAACATTAGCAAAACAAGTAGGATGCTTCACATCAACTGTGAAAAATGATCTCCCACAAGCAATAAAGGATCAAGAGAAATTGCAAGATCACTTGGCCAATTCCCTATACCTTGTCTTTATTGGGAATAACGATTACCACGATGCTATGAGTCACAACGTCAGCAACAAATTCAGTCCGGACAAGTATGCAGATATCCTTCTTGATGAAGTCACAAAACATATCAAGGTAAACTAATTATAAGTTATCTTGATTTTTGCTTTATGTAAAATATTAGAGTTTATTAAACTTTAATAACTTTTGTATTATTATGCAAACGGCAAAAGTGCACTTTAGTTCTCTAAATTTATACGAAGTTTAGTTTTAATTTATCCTCTTAATTTTAAAAATATATTTTCAGTCCTCTAATACTAACATTGTCAGTTTCCAGTGATATCTCAGCATAACTTAATATACCAGCATAATCTAATAATGCTTTTGTTAATATTTAAAATTTCAATGTCTGCATTTTTTGTTAATATTGTTAGGGTTAAAGGACTTAAAAGACACTTTATACATAAAATTAAGGGATCAAAATAAAAGTTTATTATGTGAAGTTTAAGGATTAAAGGTGCGCTTTTGCCTTATGCAAACATTGATGTTGTATACTTGTATCGTTAGATTCTAAGTTATTGTTTGTAAACAACATGACTCAAATTTCATTTGAATGTCTATTCACAGACACTTTATGATCTGGGAGCAAGAAAATTTGTAGTTTCGGGCATTTCACGTTGCCAGCCTCATAATTATACAAAAGACTGCAAATCAAGATACTTCGCAGACAAACTTCCTCAAAGGTTGCAAGAGTTACGTTGTACACTCTCCGGTTCACTATTTACAGTATACGATGTCGTCAATGTGTACAAAAAGATCACTGATAATCCACAAAAATATGGTAAGCATAGTTATTTTACTTAAGGCTTTCTATCATTTTTAATCTCTAAAATTTTATCTCCTTTCAGTTTTAGCCCCTAAAATTTGAAACCAGTGGTTTTGGTCCTTGAAACCAGAAGCCGAAAATCATTAGGCAGATCAAAATGAAGTTAAATTTCAAGGATCAAAACTATTGGTTGTCTGTTCTATGAACTGAAATCAAAATGAGATCAAATTTTAGCAACTAAAGATTATGTTAACCCTTTATTTAATTAGACCATTATTTAGATGCTGAACTCCTTTTCCAATATAAAATACTCTTCTTTGAATTGTTTCACAGGGTTCACAAACATTCAGGATCCTTGTTACCCGGAAGGTCGATCTCTCTGTAAAGATAGAAAAAAGTATCTCAGATTTGATCAATACAGTCATGAAACTGAAGCCGCATATGAGATTGCTTCAAAGGATTGCTTCTATGGACAAGCTTGTTCTCCTTACAGTATTTTGGAGCTAGCCAAGGCACCAATCATCAGTCACCACTAATAAATCGAGATTGTAACAATGTGATTCAACATTATTGAAAGTGTTCTTTTCGATTTTTCAGCTGGTTTGAAATGTGAATGCAATTTTCTGAACTTTCTGAATTTTTTCAAATTATGCGTATATTATAAGTTAAGAGTTCATGAAATTCATGGAGAAGCATTACGAAAGGAAAAGTAGAATTATACATTAGATAACAAGATATATAACATGATAGATTCTATTAAAAAGAGTTCCGACTAAATCATTTATAATAATCGTAAGTTTTAGTGGTCCACTATCAACCAGAGAGTTGAATTTTACACGAATACAACTCATGAATTCATGAAAAGATATCAAATTAGTTTGTCTAGTTTGGTAAAAAAAATTGGCTCATAATCTATAAGGTTGTGAGGTTAAATTCCTATACTAATGTGAAAATCTTGTTGATGAGTTATTTGTAAGTATATATTGTAATATCTTGAATTTTAAGGTGTTAAAAGAATCAGGGAGAATGATAAAGAAATAATTATTAAAATTATTTAAGGCCTAAGAAAATTAGGGAAAATTTATGAATATTAATTTTGAGAGTTTAGGAAATGATATGGTTAATTTCTCCAAAAATTGGCTTACACAATTTGAACAATAATTTTGGGAGTTAGAAGGACCTATTTTCTTGAAAAAATTTAGTAAAAAATAGTTAGGAGATCATTTTTGACCCGAAATTTATGTGGAAATTATTTTAAAGGTCACAAAAGCTATTGGATAAGGAAAATACATATAAAATGCTATGGATTAATTTTTGGATCCACTCCTTAATTTCAGGGGAATAAGAAATAAGAAATAATTAAAGGCAAAATGGTCCATTACCTCATGTGCACAGCCCACACGTGTTGCCCCATGCTTATAACCATCAGAATTCATTTCCCTTCCCCATTTCATTACTGCTCGAGTCTTAAAACAGAGAGAGAGACCAGAGGAAAACGAGAGCTCGACGAAGAAGTGCCGGAGGTGGTAATCGGAGGTATTTGGGTCACATGCAAACCGATTAATCTTGCAAGATGAGCCTCTTGATCATTCTCCTACCCTTTTCTTTTCCGTTTTCGGCGTGGTTTGGCTGTAATGGAGGAGAGAGAGTGTTGGGTGGTGAGAGAAAGTGAAGGAAAAAGAGGAGGACAGTGAATTCATGTTATATGGCAAGATTGAAGTATATGATACTGGTTTTTAAGCTTGCATGTCACTATTGCCTCTGTTTCATGAATCTTCGAATAGAGCATGTCATTTCTGGGTTGATAGGTATCGGGTTTGAGGTATTAGGAGAGAGGAAATGTGTATCATATGAATATGAAGTTGCACATTGATCTTATCCTTCATTTAGTGGATCTGCTAATGGTTAGGAGTAGGATCTGAATTTTCTCTCCCGTGTGCGTGCTGTTATTGCTGTTAAGGGAGATTAGGGAATGAATTAGAAGGCAATATCTGTATAAATATATACATATATTTGTTAGTTGCTGTAAATGAAGGTATAGGTTCAACCGAAAAGAAATGATATATATATATATATATATATATATAAAAGTTATGCATGTGTATTGTTGCTGTCAAGAGAGGCCGAATTGGTTCATGAAATATTAAAATAGTGAGGTTGGTTGGATGTATTTGGGTTTCTGGTCTATGACTCTCAAGCAAGAAATTATATTTATGAAAGAATGAGTTTTGGCTTCTAAACATGGGAACTGAAATTTTGGAATGTTAGGAAGAACTTGAAGTGATTAAATTTTGAATTAAGGATGTTTTAAGTTATATTTAGAAGCAGTAAAATGATGATTTAATTATTGTTCTAAGGTGGAAAATTTCCAGATTTGAGTGAGGAGCTGAATAGAGAAATTATATTTGAGTTTCATGGGGATTGTCGTTGAAAGATGGGTGATTAAATCCTATTAAATATGTGTGTGTGAATCTGGAAAATTTCTAGGTTTGGAGTAAAAGTTATGTGTAGTAGAGGATGTTACATATATACATATATGTGTGTGTATGTGTGTATATACATATGTAACTATATTTGCTGATCGAATTGGGGGATTTGAATCTGGTGACAGAGTTTTGAAATATGAAACTGAAGCTATATATATATATATATATATATATATATATATATATATATGGGTATATGCTTGGCGTTGAATTTGAAGTAAGGGAAACTATATATATCTATATATGAGTGTGTAAGATTAGGAAATCTGAAACTTTATTAAAATTGTTGATTGATGCTCTCTTAGATCAAGTGATTGTCCAAGTTATTTAGACCATGTTAGAGACCGAAAATGAAGATTTGGAGGATTAAATATGAATAGGTTTTATAGGTTGTTGTAATTATTAAGGAATTTATTTGAGGTTCCAAGAAATTTTTGAAATTTTTTAAGATAGAATTGTAAATGATAAATTAAGGAATTGTGGCGGAATGAATTGGAAGGTGTATCTTAAATCTGGAAATTGATTGAGAGGTCCTGTTTATAGAGTTAGAAGATTCAGCTATTAATGATTTTGTACTTGTGTAGAATTATGTTAAATAAATGTATGGTTTCATAAAAGTGGATAATGTGGAATTTCCAGATTTAACGAAGATGGAAGAGGGAGAAATATGTGTACATATATGTGTGTGTATTCTCAAAGTTTTTAAGAGGGAAATAAAGATGAGTCGAAGTAAGGAAGGAAATATTTCAAAGAGAATAGTTTGTGTAAAAAATATTATCTAGGATGACCAACTATTAAATAAAAGGAATAGAGTTTATTAATGGCTTAAGAGAAGTTATGTTTTGATAATAAAAGTTAAATGGACTAAGCATTGACCATTTTATATATGAAACCATATTATAGGATTCGATATCTGCCTGAGCCCGCCAAGAAAGCAAGTAAAGAAGAAATCTGGACAAGCTAAATCGGAAGAAGGACCTCCGGGTAGTGACTCTTTTCCTCATATACTTAAGTAATAGTTCTGCATGTCTATTTGTGTCATAGTGCCTATATTCTTTAATGAATATATGGTGGATATGTTCTTTGACGAACAATTGTGAGCTCGTAGAGCTACCCTAGGTATGAGTATGTGAAAGTTGCTTTGCATTGACCTCATAGAGCCATACTTAGATATGAGTATGTGGAATTTGCTTTGCGTTGAGCTTATAGAGCTATACTCTAGTTTGAGTATGTGGAATTTTTTTGCATTGAACTTGTAGAGCTATACTCAATCATAAGTATGTGATGTTGATTTAATTGCCATGGCCTTGAGTGTTGCAAAGTGTGGGTTGCATGAGCATCGTTGATTATATCTGTTTGCAAAGCTTATGATGTTTGAACTTTGTTGTTTATGCTTGCATGTAAGTGTTGTGAACATGGCTTGTTTTGCATGCATTTATGAGCTTTGTATAGTTGTATGATGGACTGCTGTCACTATTGAGATTCTAGAATCTCACCCCTTTCTTTCATGACATATAGTGAAGGCAGGTGGCTCGAAGGGCAAATGTGTGGTAATTAAAGGAAGTTGAAAAAGTTGGGAGCAGATGTGAACAAGATAGTTAGTGATTTGTGTAGTCTTTTGCTGTTTATACTTAGAGCTTTTATTAAGCCATGTATGGCCATATGTATTTTGTGTATATTTATATTTCTATGTGATTATGTAAGGTAATTATAGGGTGTAATTACCTCTGTAAAGAGGAAAGTTTTGGCTCCCGTAACCGTCAGTTAATTGCCATATGCTCTGGTAGTTGTATGTTAGTAGATAGATATAGATATATATCACCAATGAGGGAAGGCTTGATAATATTAGTTTAGCTAAAGGTAGCTTTATTGATGTTAAAGTTAGGGTTTAAATGGATGACTAAACTACTAAACAGGACATTTTGCAAGTTCTTTCAAAAGTTTAAAATTTTCAGAAAATCCTATCCCTTATAAAGGATCGAACCTGCGATTGGGTGAAGGCATAATAAAGAGTTTAGTAGAGGTATTTTTATTTTTCCAAGATCAAACCTAGCTTAGTAGTTCGAAGTAAATTTTATAGCCCTTAGTTCAATTAAAGTAGGTGTTTTTTAACAAATAATTAAAGTATGAGAAAGTTTGATTCGAAAAGATGATATATTTCTCTTATGCAAGGTGCACATATATACAAGACGTGAACAGTGCGTGAATAGTGCAGCAACGTGGTCACATCATTCTAGATCCCACATTATCTCCTATATCAACAGCAACTAATAAATGAATGATTCTATCAGTTATTTACAAATCTCTACATATCTAATATTATAATATCTTTGATATGTTTTGATCTCTAACACTCCTCCTCAAGTTGGTGCATGTAGATCTGTAATGCCCAACTTGCTTGTGAGCATTTCAAGTCTATCCTTTCCAATAGCTTTTGTAAACATATCTGCCAGTTGGTCTTGTGTCCAAATCTTGTGTGGCATGACCTCCCTAGACTGGTATCTTTCTCTTACAAAATAGCAATCCATCTCAACATGCTTCATTTACTCATGAAAGAAGGGTTCATGGCTATATGTATTGCCGCCTGGTTATCACAATAAAGTGAAGTTTCTCTTTTTTACGATGCCCTCAATTCTGTGAGTAGCCACCTCAACCAAATCACTTCACTTATAGCATGTGCCATTACCTGGTATTTCGCCTCTACTAATGATTTAGCCACAACATTTTGTTTCTTTGTCCTCCATGACATTGGTAATCCTCCCAAAGTCATGAAGCACCCACTACAAGAACGACATGTCTTGGAGCAACCGGCCCAGTCTGCATCGCAGTATGCCTCTAGCTCCAAGTGACCCTCTGGTCAGAGCACTATGCCTTATTTGGGTGTGCTCTTCAAATAACGTAATATTCTCTCCACCGCCACCATGTGTGGGTGTTTTGGTGAAGATGTATACTGACTCAATATGTTGACAACACATACTATGTCTGGGCATGTCACTGTTAAGTATTGAAGCTTCCCTACTAGACCCCTGTAGCGTGCAGCATCCACTTTA